CTGTTCTCTCCCCCCCATAGTCCGAGACAGAGGGCAGAAAATCTAAATTAGACAGTTAAAACACATTAAAAGTTCACAACTCACCCTTATTGTTGTTAGCGTGGTATCCTACAAATCCAGCCTTTTGGTCACAAAACTGATAGATCTACTCAAACTGTGACTCTYCTTTTTGAGTTTTTAAATGGTCTTAGCAGAGCTAGGATTCATTGTTTTCCAGTCTTTCCTTACATGGCATCAACACAAATCTTCTGGATCATGGATCTTTTTGAAAATAAAAAAAAAAGCTGGCAGCTGATCTTGCACCATTTGTAAACTTAAACACCACACAATATTTCATTTCAATTTCACAAAATTACATGGAACTTTAAAAACAGTAGCCTTTTCTACAGGTAATCCTTATGAGGAGCGAGTGTCGTTCAACAACTGTGATGTCACAGAAGCTCCGCCTCCTCCAGGAGTTCTGAATGGAAATTCATGTTCTGATTTTCATGCATTTTGTAGAAAATGGCATGTTTTGGTTACATTTACAACAATATTTAGAAATGTTATTGATATTCATACTGCATATAACATATACTATCAAATTATGCAGTTGTTTGACAAACTAAAGTAGCCTGCATTTGACCTTTAAGAAGCTGAAAGAAATAAGAAGAACACACAAACCTTCTTCTCTTGTTGACACACACAGAGAGAAAGGCCAACATCTGTTGCTGGTTATATGAGTCCCCAGGGAATCTAAAAGTGTACAAACTAAAACATCTAAAATGCTAGAAGACAATTAAATAAGGAAGTGTTGCTACTGAGCAGAACATAACTCGTGAAAAATAACATCACATACACATGTCCGTTGGGACCCTTTACAGCTGAACTCTCTATTTGAATTATTGTTCTAATGTTATGCATTTGTGATTTCTAACTTTTTCTGAGATCCCACAGTCCATTAAAAGGTGTTTAAATATATCAACTTTAAACACTACTTGTCGTATGCCACATAAGTTAGTTTGAACCTATGTTAAAAATAGTTTATTTTTTTGACGTTATAAAGTGCACATGAAAATTCCTGTTGTGCTACTAAAACACCCCTGATCCAAGACGTGCATACACCTTTTAGCTTCTTGAACCAGGATATTGGTCGGGCTACTGGCAGCTGCCTTAACATTTCTTTTGATCTTGTGTACATTTCTTATACAGTCCATAAAGTCACGTTTTGTCATCTTAGATTAWTACAAAACTAAGTCCCAAATTATCATTGGGCTTTATAGAAGAAATCTGATGGATGTTGAGATCCTTTTAAATTTTATCAATTATTTCACCCATGGGAAGTGACAGATAATTGGGTTTATGCATTTTTTTATATTTTAACATAAATAAAGTTTGTACTGCACAAAATGTGAGATAAATGATATTTTTTTCTTTGTCTCTCCTATGTTCCTTCCAGGTTCCAGGTGATTTAAGCCAGACGTCAGATGATCCCAGTCTGTCAGATTTTGAAACGTAAGGATGTTTCTCTTTTGCTTTCTCTCCATTAGAGCTTTTAATAATTTAAAACGCTCCTCCCTCTGTCTGTGAGCTTATGATCAAATAAGTAAATTTAGAGGAGTTCAACAGGAGCGAACTGTTAATCTGCTGCCTGCAATCRAAGCGTAGTGCTGACACACTGTTGATGTTGCCGCTGCCGCTGATAATGATACTGCCGGTGATAATGGCGATGTGCAGTAAGGACTTTGTTGTTTGTGTCATTCAGGGCTCATCGTGCTCTCATCAATGTGTGGATCCCCTCTGTGTTCCTGCAGGGCAGAGCTGCGAACGCCTACCACGTCTATCAGGTACACTCAGTGAGCCGTGTCCTTTGTTTACCAGGCGAAAACAGTCGTTTCATCTGCTCTGACTCTGATACCTCGCAAAATAGCACCCTTTATTCATAATGAAAAACACTGACCAGAGGACAAAGCCATTATGAGCATATAGTGAGATAATATTCTTGATAAAATATAAAAGGCCCAAAAAAGAAACAGCATGAGAAGTTAAACGTTCATTAAGGCAAATAGTGACGGAACAAATGAGAAAGCTTTAAAGGAGTTCTACTTTCTCATTAAAAGCCCATCACCAGTGTGCATTACATTGTTTTGTTCAGAGATTTTTATCCTCTTGACTCTGCTCAGTTGGTCAAGCAAAACACTTTAATTTGCCAGTGTTTATCTGCTGGTTTGTCACTTCACTGATGTGTGAGAGTTTTATTTGACCATGTATTTATCTCTGGCCAGTCAGGAATTTTAACAGCTTCCTGACCTTTATTCCAGCAAGATCATCCATTCAGATTGTTTGTGTGTCCACTTGCTTGCTGCAGTTAAAGCATTTATTTGAAGTGTAATTTATAAATAAATTTCTTTTGATTGTGAAAGTAAAGTCAACGTATATAATTATTTTTCGACTTTTCAACTGCACTCTAAAAAAAATGAAACGTTGATTTTACCTAACCAAGTTTACCTAACCAAGTGACCATCAAAAATGGTTTGGGAACTTAACCATACATTATGTATAGCTAATTTAGACTTATTTAGTCTGTATTTTATTTCAAACACATCAGTTTTCTGGCATAACATCACTTCCTTTCACAGTTCTCCTGCAGAGCTGATAATGTAGATGTTTTTTTCAGATTACCACTAAATAGAAAACATTAAAGCAAAAAATGTGTTAAGATTCTATGTTGTAATGCAAACATAAAAAATGGAGAGAAAAAAAACTAAATTTTATTTTTTCCAGACTGATTGTAAACATGAGTGCTCTTGTTCTGTGTTGTCACTCTGCCAGCGTAGCTGTGTTCCTCCTGTCAGTGACTCGTGCCTCTGCTGAACTTTTTTAGACACAAATCTGTCTCAAAATCATGACTGCCTTTCACACTGCAGTCAGTGACACCTCAGTTTGTAAAGAAGTCATCTCATCTGGGCTTGGGCCATTCACACAAATTCATTCACCTACAGAAAGTGGTGGCTCCTGTGGGGTCTTTTCTAGGCATTTATGTGAGTTGGATTTGCTAAAAACCGGACTCAGAAACAGCTTATCAAACCAAAGTGTTGCTTCTCCTTTTATCTGTCAAGCTGTTGAGCGAAGTAGACAACAACAGCTCATTCCCTCAGTGACTGTTTTCTTGTGTCTGTCACTTTAACAAGGTGTTGCACCTCAGCTCTCCTGATTCTCCCTTGAAATACACACTCAGACAAACCCTCTGGTCCAAGCTCAAGAGAACAAAACACACACACACACACACACACACACACACACACACACACACACACACACACACACACACACACACATATAATTAGAGACATCATGAATCACACATGTAAACACATATGCATCTGCTGGTGTACAGTATGTAAATATGAACACATATATACTGTGTATTGCATGCAGCTTGCAGTACATAGACATAGAGTGTTATTATCTGCTCAGTTAACAGAATGTTAGGCTGTAACTCCAATCAGTGGAAACCATATGGGACAGGGAGAGACAGGAGGCACATTCTCAACTATAACTGATGGTCAGGCTGGCAATCAAGCTCAGCTCAGCTTAACTTATGCATAGTAGATGCAAATTCACAACTCAGGAGTCGAGCTCAGAGCTGTCTCAAGTCTTTTGGGTGAGACTGTCTTCTTTCCACCCCTGACAGGATGGAAGTACAGCAGCAAATGAGATGGATTGTTATAATTCCTGCCTTTTACAGCTTCCAGTCCTCATGAACACATGCCTGGCTCAGTGCTCCTCCAACACTGAAACGATGTTAAATGAGTGTCTTTCAAGACACGATGAGGACTATTCAGTTTTATTCTTTTATTTTTTAAACTGAAAGAAATGCTAATGATTTGTACAACTCAGCATGCTCTTGAGAAAGCGACAGCGTTTATTCAGGTGCTGTTCTTTGTTCCTGTTGGGTAAAATTCATTGCAGACTGACATTACACTGTATGCTGCCACCTGCACCCAGTTTGAGCTTCTCACAGAAAAATGATGGAAACCTTTTTTGCTTGAGCCACCTTGAAGTTTGATAGTAGTTGGTTTTGTATTTTTACTTCAAATTATTCTTTATTCTAATTAAGTTAAGATAATTTTATGAGTTTTGGTCAAATTTTCAAAATGATGTTCACAACCTCATGCAAATTGTCACGATTTGTAGCAGAGTATGCTTACACTACCACATTCAATTTAAAATTTGTATCTGTAAAGATGGCTGAGTTATAGTCATGTTTGTGTTTGCTAAAGTCAGTTGTCTGGGGAAGCCATCTTAAATGTGGCTCTAGAAGTTAATCAGACACATGAACACACACAAATACACTAGTCTGAACAAAAACATTATAGCCCTTTCGTTTTTGACAGCAGGCAACAAATATAGTGGGATATATTTTATTGARTCTCAATGGAGCTACACATAAACATTGATATTTAGATATTTTATACTGAAATGTTTTTATGGTCAATGCAAAGCATTTTTTCTATATATTATTGTGATTAAGGGTGCCTTCATCCCCTAAGACATTTGGTAGGATTTAAACGAACCTGAGTTTGTTTCCCCTGTTGTTCCTGACCTTTTATGCAGTTGTGAATACACTCATGCGAACCCTAGTGTGGACCAAACAACTGGACTGAGATCCAATTTTGAGGTGGTCTTGTTCCGTCCGTCCGTTAGTTTTCTTCCGCTTATCCGGGGTCGGGTCGCGGGGGCAGCAGCCTAAGCAGAGAGACCCAGACTTCCCTCTCCCCAGCCACTTGGGCCAGCTCATCCGGGTGAATCCCAAGGCGTTCCCAGGCCAGCCAAGAAACATAGTCCCTCCATCATGTCCTGGGTCTTCCTCTGGGCCTCCTCCTAGTGAGACGTGCCCAGAACACCTCACCAGGGAGGCGTCCAGGAGGCATCCTAACCTGATGCCCGTTCCACCTCAACTGGCTCCTCTCAATGTGGAGGAGCAGCYGCTCTACTCTGAGTTCCTCTCGGATGACTGAGCTTCTCACCCTATCTCTAAGGGAGACACCCTGCGAAGGAAACTAATTTCGGCCGCTTGTATCCGCAATCTCATTCTTTCGGTCACTACCCAAAGCTCATGACCATAGATGAGGGTAGGAACATAGAACYATCGGTACAGCGCCCGCATCACTGCAGACACAGCACCAATCCATCTATCGATCTCCAGCTCCATTCTTCCCTCATTCGTGAACAAGACCCCGAGATACTTAAACTCTCCTCCACTTGGGGCAGGACCTCCTCCCCGACCCGGAGAAGGCAGCCTACAGTTTTCCGTCTCAAGGCCATGATCTCGAATTTGGTGGCAATGATCCTCATCCTGGCCGCTTCACACTCTGCTGCGAACTGCTCCAGTGAGAGCTGGAGATCACAATCTGATGAAGCCAAAAGGACCACATCATTCGCAAAGAGCAGAGATGCAATCCTAAGGTCACCAAAACGGATCCTCTCAACACCTTGGCTGTGCCTAGAAATTCTGTCCATAAAAGTTATGAACAGAATCTGTGACAAAGGGCAACCTTGGCAGAGTCCAACAATCACCYGAAACGAGTCCGACTTACTACCGGCAATGCAGACCAAGCTCTGGAACCGGTCGTACAAGGATCTAACAGCCTGTTTCAAAGGGCCTCGTACCCCATACTCCCGGAGTACCCCCCACAGGAGTCCCCTGAAGAACACGGTCAAATGCCTTCTRCAAGTCCACAAAAAACATGTAGACTGGTTGGGTGAACTCCCATGCACCTTCCAGGACCCTGCTGAGGGTGTAAAGCTGGTCAAGTGTTCCACGACCAGGACGATAACCACACTGCTCTTCCTGAAGCCGAGATTAAACTATCCGATGGACCCTCCTCTCCAGGACCCCGGAATAGACCTTACCAGGGAGGCTTAGAAGTGTGATCCCCCTATAGTTGGAACACACTCTGTGGTCCCCCTTTTTAAGTAGGGGGACCACCACCCCAGTCTGCCAATCCAYGGAACTGCCCCCGATGTCCACGCAATATTGTAGAGTCGCATCAATCAACGCAACCCCACAACATCCAAAGCCTTAAGGAACTCAGGGCGAATCTCATCCATCCCCAGCGCCCTGCAACAGAGGAGAGGTCTCGGTCCACTTCCAAATTAACTCTGGAGTGGTTCGCTTCTGGTGTGAATACAGACCAGTCTCATATTGAACAAACTACATGGAAACATGCCTTTTTGGACTTCAGGAGCCGCAGTTGCTAAGCATCATGGTAACAATTAGCCATTCARTGTTGCTAACGCTACCACTATGCTACAAACAATGATGCCCTTGTGGATCAGGGCATGCGGACGCCATTTCTGTCCAATGGGAGCAATGATTGCCACCCACTTGGCTTTATTTTTAAATTGTAGTCTTCCTGCCAAAAAGCACATTGTGAGTGCAAACCGCAACAAACTAACAAACAAAAAAGGTCTGCTTTTGGTCCGGACTAAACAAGTGGATCAAATGATTTTCCTGGTGTGAATACACCCTAAATCATAGTTTTTAAAAACCATTTAGTTTCTATTTAATTTAACTCACACTTTGCATTCAAACAACACAACCAGACACATGATACTTTTACATTTGCAGAACGTTCTGTACCAAGTCACCTGGACAGGTTGTCACTTCCTTAGTTGCCATGATTTCATTTCCATGGGCATGACTTAAGAATCAGAATCAGAATCAGTTTTATTGCCATTGTCAATGAACAGGATTCACAGACTAGGAATTTGCTTTGGTGTAAAGGTGCAGTAGGTATCAAATATAACAAAAGAAGAAAATACAAAGAATAAAGGAAAAATA